TATATTTAATGAGGGCTTTCTCCTCTAGAATAGCTCCTGAAAAGCAAATACTTTTTCTTTTTGCATCAGGAAATCCACATGAATTTTATAAAAATTAGTAAATGCCTTTTTTTTTGAGACATGGTTTCTTATAGCACAGGCTGGCCTTGAACTCACTGTGTAGCTGAAGATGATTTTGAACTTTCTGATCTTCCTGCCTCCACCTCCCAAGTGCTAGGATCATAGACTTGTACCACCATGCCCTGTTTATGTGGTGGTGCTAGGGATTGAACCCAGGGTTTAATGCATGCCAGGCAAAGCAGTAGACCAACTGAGCTTCATCTTCAGTCCAATAAATATCATTTGAAAGAATATTTGTAGGGTATTCTTCGAGAGGCTGTTAAAAACTTTCTAGTTTTTTATAAGTTAAAATTTCTGTAAGCAGGGAAACTTAGGGGAAAAAAGACTTTTCTTGTTAGAAATACATAGCTGCGCATGGTGGCACATACATGCGTTTAGGTCCAGTGGGAGGTAGGTCACAGGTGGAACTCTAATCTACAAAGCAGGTTCCAGGCCAGCCAGGGCTACACAGTGAGAAACCAGTCTCAAAAGAAGAAGAAAAAGAAAAGTAGGGAAGAAGAGAAATACAAGAAAAACCTCACAGAAGTGACATGGTAATCCTTACAGAATGATTAGCTTGTAAGTTCATGAGAATGAAGGGCTTTTATTTATCCTTAACTTGGGTACTATATGTATAGTGCATGATAAATGTAAATTGTGGCAGGATTTGGACCAATACAGATGATGGGAGGAAAAGGAGTTCCAGGAAATGACATAGGCAAAAAAAGAATATCATCTAAAGTGCTAAATTCGTTCAGAAAATATAAGATCAGTTTTGGTGAAACATATACATATTAGATTGAGATAAGGATGTAACAAAAAATGAGACTTAAAAGTTAGATAGTAAACATAAAAATCAGTGTGCCAGTTGGGGTGAAGATGTTTAGGTTTGTCTCTCTAGGTGGAAATTAGTTCCTCATATTACTGCCTAAAAAACAAATTGACAGCTTGAGAAATAGTAAACACCTAGAGTAGAAACACTAGTTCAACTTGGAATACTGGTTTTTTGACAAGCATCATCACCATCAAATAGCATAATTCAGATGCCTATGGAGCACCTTCTGTATTTGGCTTGGCTGGGAAGAGTGTTTACTTAGATTTCTGGAAGAGAGCAAGAGAGGCTCATATAAATGTCTGCAGTTGGTGAGAAGGAATTTTGGAGAAATACCTCCAGACAACCATTTCTCCTACCTTTTCCCAATACCATTCTGTCAGACTGCTGATAGCAGATTGAAAAGAAAAGAGAACAAGAGAATTTGTTCTCCCTGTTAGAACTATTGGGAAAGGTACAATGCCATCAAGAGATTGGAGCAATGGACATTCCAGACTGAAGAAACAGTTGTCTGGAACACAGAATATATGTGGACAAAGAAGTAGGTTGGGAGCCAGATGTCTTTAATCCCAGCACTTGGGAGGCAGAGGCAGGTAGATCTCTGTGAGATGGAGGCCAGCTGGGGCTACAGAGAGACCTTGTCTCAGGGGGAAAAAAAAAATGGTAGGTTGGGATCTTTGATTTAGAGATTCATGAACTGGGGAGTTGACAAAAAAAGGTTGATAGTGGGATTTTTTTTTTTTTTTTAGCAGATAAATTGATTCATACCTTGTCACTGATATATCATAGAATGGACAGAGGCCAGGCAGGGTACAGTTAGGAAAACTCCTGTTTGTAATAGAGCTGTCGATGGTGAAAGTCAGAGGCCAGCCAGTTGAATCTTCTAATTTACACAAGACTGGGCTAGTTATGGAGATAAGTAGGTTCTAGCAAAGGTACCACCTCAAGCTTTCCAGCATAGTACTGAACACCTTAGTTAAGTTCTCCATGCATTGTTTCCTCCATTTTAGAAAGGAGAGAGAGAGTGTGTGTTGAATGTACAAGAAGTATTTGTCATTTTTTAGCATGTTTGTTCAGGTTCCATACAATTATTTATTTGGTAAAATGTACAGTATAAATGTACTTTTAGGGTTATCTTATCGTAGTATGATCTGTTTCCTGGACTGTTCTCATTAGTGTCTCTTGGCAGAGTGTAAGGCCCTCAGAACTCAATTCCTAGGATATGAGTTGGCATTTCAGCCTTCTTAAAGGTCAATAGCAGCTGATGTACTCTCTTCCCTTCCTCCACTTTAAAAAAAAAAAATTATTTATTTTATTTCTTTATTTATTTTTGGTCTTTTTGAGACAAGGTCTCCCTGTAGCCCCAGCTAACCTGGAACTCACTGTGTAGACCAGGCTGGCCTTGAACTCACAGAGATCCACCCACCTCTGCCTCCCAAGTTCTGGGATTAAAGGCGTGCACCACCACGCACGGCTTATTATTATTTTTATTTTATGTGTATGCGTGTACTGCCTGCATGTAGGTAAGGACACCCATGTCATGCAATGCCCACATTGGTCAGAAAAGGCTGTCAGATCCCCTGGGACTGGAGTTACAGACAGTTGTTAGCTGCCATGTGGGTGCTGGGATTCAAACCCAGGTCTTCTGCAAGAACAACCAGTGTTCTTAACCACTGAGCCATCTCTCTAGCCCCCCCTTCCTCCATTTTTAGAAACAGGTAAGAGTGTTATCGGTCTCTTTCCTCAAATTTGATTTGATTTACTCAAATCAAAATAAATGTTTTTAAAACCATCTGTAAAAGCAAACAAGTCAAGACAGAAATTTTAAATTTTCAGATTTGTAGTTTCAGACTCTATAGACTTTTATGGAAATGAATAGTTGAAACTAGCCAGCTGTGGTGGTGCATGCCTTTAGTTCCAGCACTTGGGAGGCAGAGGCAGGCATAT